TTTTTAAAAGATTTATTTATTTATTTGAAATGCAGAGTTTGTTTATGAGAGGGAGAGAGAGAGCGAGAGAGAAGGAGACAGAGACAGAGAGCAAGTGATCTTCCATCCGCTGGTTCGCTCCCTAGATGCAACACCAGGGCTAGCCCAGGCTGAAGCCAGGAGCTTCTTCCAGGTCTCCCATGTGGGTGCAGGGGCCCAAGCAGTTGAGCCATCCTCCAGTCCTCTCCCAGGTGCTTTAGCAGGGAGCTAGATTGGAAGTGGAGCAGTTGGGACCAAATCCATTCCCATATGGATGGCAGTGACTTAACCTACTATGCTACAATGTCAGCCCTTTGACTTTTTTTCCAATAGTACTAGTCCTTGGTGGAAATTGAGCTTTTATTTTTATGGTAATGGAAGTTTTGGGGTCTTTGGAAGGAAACTCCTTTGGGAACAGAAAAGTTAGTGAGAGGATATAACTTGATCTTTACCACTTGATTGTGAGACAGAGGTTTGATCAAGAGAAAAGTCTTGATCTACATTCTTTCTGTGTTTAGAGTTTCCTGATGGTGATTAGAACAAACTGAATGGGGTGACATGGGGGAAAGCCTGGAACAAAACACTTGTTCAAGGTAGTAGGAATGGAATGGTCATGGGAACAGAACTGGACAGTGTGGTCGCTCGTATCTTACATAGCAGAATCTCTATGGAAGTGAAATAGTGACAGTTTCAAGTACAGGCTTCCTTGCTATCTAAGCAGCTGCCCTGAATGTAGCTTTTAAGGACTTGCTGAGAATACATGGATAAGAGATTTATGGGGTCATTTTCGCTATTTAAATACATTCAGGTGAACATCTCATCAGCTGAAAAAATTCTAGGCTTTAGCATACCTGAATTTCAGTTGGAATGATCTGGAAGGTTCTCAGTTCTGGTAATGATTAACTTAGTCATTAGACTCAGAATTTTGTAGTGCAGTAGTAAGGCTTATCATGGTTTTATTTATCTATAAATGCACACTATTGTGTTCTTTTCTATGTTTAGTGTTTCATAACATTTATGCTTTAAGCACATGTAAGTGAACATTGAACCAAAGGTCTGATGAGCCATTTACATACTTTTTTTCAGGTCCATTGAACAAAACAGTTATGTACAAGCTGTAGCTTCTGTAAATAAAGCTGGTGGAAGAGATTTATCCTAGTCACTTAGGAATATTTGGTGTTTATAAACATTACTTAAGTGTATATGACATTTTAATATGTTAGTGGGACAGAATAAAATATATGTGGGTTGATATGAGGTCAGAGACAGATTATACCATCCCTACCCCCAAGATGATGACCCATTTCCATTGAATTAGACCTTTAATCAGCTTGGATACTATGAAGCAAATACTATGAGATTTTCTGAAGCCTGGTATGGCTTCATCTCTCTGGATTTACTCACAGCTGGTGCCAACAGTGCATTGTTGTGTTTAGTGCCACTGCTGGTCCTGTTCCTCCATCACAATTAAGCAGTGTCTCATAAATATATTTAATATTTATATCAAATATATATGAAGATTATATATAAATATAAATCTTTTAAAATATATAAAGAATTAGTGTGGCTTTGTTCTGAAAATGTTTTACTTGCAAAAATATGTGGAAGACTGGATTCGGTCCATAGTCTATAGTTTGTTGACTTCTGAGGAAGATCTGTTGTATCGAGTCAGTTTTAGCTACTAGCCAGTACTTCCTACCTTGAATTTAGATCTCTTTCTGGGAAATTGTTCCACTGCCAGTGTCTCAAGATCAACACTTCTGTGTCTGGCTGGTGGATTTCTTATTACCTACCTTATGTTCTTTCGTATTTACAGATAAAAGTCTTCACTTTTATTCGCACATTCATATATTTAGCCTGAGCCGGTTTTCATAGTAGATTGGTTGCTCCCTGCTTTAATTCTGGACCTGATTTTTGTGATAGCAGTCATCCTATAGTAATTTCCTACCATCTCACGTTTGTGTCTTTTCTAGTATCTGGGCAGTTGGCCTGAATTACCCCTTTACTTTCTTTCTCTCACTTGTGAGCAGAGTTGTACCAGTCTGCTAGGGAAAGTCATGCTATGGTTTGATATTTAATTGCAACTGGATCCTCACTGCTGTGGTAGAATCTGTATCTCTTAGTGCCTCTTTTCCATAGTGGCTCTATTTAGGGTAAAATTTGAGGAAACTGTTTAAGAGAATGAAATGTTTTGTTATTGTATAGACCATCAAGTAAGTGTTTTGTTTGCAAATCTCTAAAACTGCCTAACCAATTATGATCACAATTTTACTAAAAAGAAAGAAATCTAATGAGAGTTTTTCTCCTATATCAAAACGTCTGTTACCATGCTGTATTCCTTCTCCAATTTTCTCCCATGTTTTCCCATCTTCCTGTCTCACTGTGGTCTCTTTTCCTTCCTTCTTTCACTACTTCTTTCCATGTCCTCATTCTTTTTTCCATGCCTATGTTTTCATCTTTCTCTGTCACTTTTTCCTAAGGCAGTCACTGTTCACATAAGCTCTCTCATTTGCATGGAGATACTCTATCATTTGTTCTAGTCTCTAAATTGGTAGTAATATACATTTTGGAGGTAATTATTTTTAAAGATGATCATAATTATTCTAAGATCTTTCTCTATATTATTTTAGTTTTGTTTTTACTTTGTTATTCATAATGTATAACTATTACAATTAATATCAGGAATTTCAGTTACAAGCACTTAGTGGCCACATCTGATTTCTCCATTAAACAGAAATGAGGAGTTACAACAAATATATAAAAAATGAAAGATCATAATTTGGAAGTGGACCTAAGATGTCATCATTAGTTGTAATTATTAATGTAAATATTTCCCACTCCTTCAGCACTACGGATGTGATTTTCTGATACTTTCTAAGTTAAAGACTGTACTCTCTTAATGAGTCATGGAATTAGTTTAATTGGGTAAAGGAACTGTTTAAGAAAAAGGAAATTGGGCCCGCGCCACGGCTTACTAGGCTGATCTTCCACCTGCGGCGCCGGCACCCTGGGTTCTAGTCCCAGTTGGGGCACCGAGTTCTGTCCCGGTTGCTCCTCTTCCAGTCCAGCTCTCTGCTGTGGCCTGGGAAGGCAGTGGAGGATGGCCCAAGACCTTGGGCCCTGCACCTGCATGGGAGACCAGGAGGAAGCACCTGGCTCCTGGCTCCTGGTTTCGGATCCGTGCAGCGCACCAGCCGTAGTGGCCATTTTGGGGGTGAACCAATGGAAGGTCCTCTCTAACTCTGCCTGGCAAAAAAAAAAAAAAAAAAAAAAAAAAAAGAAAAAAAAAGGAAATTGAAGATAAAACAAAAGTGTGTCATGTGTAGTTAGGGTAATACTGTTCCTTGAGATACCCAGATAACATGTACCTATGTATATTTATGCACATACATTTAAGCATACTTGAAAAATTTGGCTAAAATGGAATTAAAAATAGGTACAAAAAATGAAATCCATACATATAAGGGATATCCTAAAAGTGTGTTAACATATGTATTATGAAAAAACTGCATGGATTTCAAATTTTACATAAAAATATACTTCTTTCAATTCCATTTTCCATTAACTCCTTTTTCCATTGACTCTTCCTTCCTTTCTTAAAATTGAATACAGTGAGAAAAGATCAGCTGTTCACACTTTTCCACCTTTTCTGAATCTGCAGCAGGTTATGTTGTGATAGAAAGGTGTTTCTCTGAAGGTCATGGATAATCACTACTCTACTACTAATAATAATGGTTTTAACTGTGTATTCAGTGCTTATCACTGCTGACGCACTGTGCATGCACATTTGAATGTGGTCACAACACTTATGTGGTATAATTACTGCAGTGATTCTTATTTTTTAAATGAAAAACTTGAGATGCAGATACAGTAGATCCAGAAAGTACTGAAGCCAGGGCTGTTGGCTTCCAAACTTCAGCTTTTAGTGGCTGTTTCTTGTGATCTGATCCTTTTTCCTGATAGTACCCCTTTTTCAAGGGGATGAGAGACTTTTGTAGAAATTGGAAAGCCTAAGTGTGTTTCATAGAAATACCACTAATTTATAGGAAACGGAGTCTTCATTTATATGTTCTGTTGGGTTCTCAATAGACATTCTTCCTAGCAGTAGCTATAAACTTCAGACTGAATATTTTTCTATTTAATAGTTTAGTTCCAAAACTTCTCATTTGTAAAGGAATATTCAAAGAATTCTAAATCTCCTTTCTATGAAATGTTTTGTCATAACAAATATAAAAGAAATTTTGAAAGTAGTAAAAAAAATTGAATAGAATTATTCACAGCCTTTGATATAGAACAAGTGAAGTCAATGGATCTCAAATTCACTAGCTGGCTTTGAACTATCATTTTTCATAACTGCATATGATGTGTAGAATCCTTCTTATGAAACTTTATAATTTTATACCTGTTTCTTTTGCCTTAGTAATCACAGTGTCATAGAACATTTAGGAAATTTATGCCAGAATCACATACACTTTATATTTGAAATGCATTTATAAATCCTCTACTAAACTTCCTAATTTCGTGATTCATTTGTTACTTTCAAAAAGAAGTGAGTTGTAAGTACTATATTTCACACTATAACTTTTTTAGAAGATTATTTAATTGAAAGGCAGAGCTACAGAGAGGCAGAGGAGAGACAGAGAGGTCTTCCATCGCTGGTTCTCTCCCCAGTTGGCCGCAACAGCTGGAGCTGGACTGATCTGAAGCCAGGAGCCAAGAGCTTTTTCTGGGTCTCCCACATAGCAGCTGGGGCCCAAGAACTTTTGGATATCCTCTACTGCTTTCCCAGGCCATAAGCAGAGAGCTGGATCAGAAGTGGAGCAACCGGGACTTGAATTGGCACTCATATGGGATGCTGGCACTGCAAGCTGCAGCTTGACCTGCTATGCCACAGTGCCAGTCCCCACACTATAACATTTTTAAAAATGTTTGCTGAGGCTGGTGCCGTGGCTCACTAGGCTAATCCCCTGCCTGCGGCGCCGGCACACTGGGTTCTAGTCCCGGTTGGGGCACCAGATTCTGTCCCGGTTGCCCCACTTCCAGTCCAGCTCTCTGCTGTGGCCCGGGAGTGCAGTGGAGGATGGCCCAAGTGCTTGGGCCCTGCACCTCACGGGAGGCCAGGAGGAAGCACCTGGCTCCTGGCTTCGGATCAGCGGGGTGTGCCGGCCGCATTGGCCATTGGAGGGTGAACCAACAGTAAAGGAAGACCTTTGTCTCTCTCTCTCTCACTGTCCACTCTGCCTGTCAAAAAAGAAAGTTTGCTGAAAGAAAGATAGAAAAGTTACCATCATTTCTTAATGTAATAATTTTTATTTAAAAAACTAATTTTTGAAAATGCATTCAAAAGGTGGAGAGACGCAGAGAAAGTGAGTGAGAATGAGCAAGAGGGAGAGAGCATTTTTCTTTGCTTATTCACTGTTCAAATACCTGTGAAGGCTGGGGCTGGGCTAGAGCTGAAACCTGGATCAACAAACACAATCCAGGTCTCCCATGTGCATAGCGGAAACCCCCTTCCTTGAGCCATAATTGGTACCCCCCAAATCTGCATTGGCCAGAAGCTAGAGTGAGGAGCCACAGCTGGAAGTCAAACTATAGTATGGGACACAAATATCTTAATGCTGGGCTAACCCTTTCCTCCCCACTTCTTAATCATTTTTAAGCCTCTTGTTTATTAACCAAAGTAAAAAGCATAGATATAGCACAGTGAAAAAGGACTTACTCTCTGTTTTTAAAGGGCTAACAGTTCTATGGCTGACATCATCCTATTACGTACATCATAATATTCTCTGTAGCTCCAAGTGTTTTAAAAGGAAGGCTTTGGGGCTGGTGCTGTGACATAGCAGGTAAAGCCTTGGCCTGCTGTGCTGGCATCCCATGTGGGTGCTGGTTCCGGTGCCAGTTGCTCAATTTCCGATCCAGCTCTCTGCTATAGCGTGGGAAAGCAGTAGAAGATGGCCTAAGAGCTTGGGCTCCTGCACTCATGTGGGAGACCTGGAAGAAGCTCCTGGCTCCTGGCTTTGGGTCAACTCAGCTCCAGCCATTGTGGCCATTTGGGGAGTGAACCACTGGATGGAAGACTTTCTCTCTGTCTCTCTCTGCCTCTCTGTAACTCTGCCTTTCCAATAAATAAATCTTAAAAAAAAAAAAAAAAAAGTAAGTGGAAGGCTTCTCACAAGTTGTGAATTATTCAACTCTGTTCTCTATATAGGAGCACAGTCTCAAAGGTCTTCATTTTTAAGTCTAGTGCCAGATATTCTTAGATGTATCCTCAATCATATCTTAAATCTTTGTAGCTTCAATCAATTCTTGGTAGACAATAAATCTTTCCTTAGCATCAATTTTGTAAGTTGATACTAGTTCCATTTTGTTTGCAAAAGACATTTCACTAACTTTAGATAATAGGTGGAATACTTCATATATTATACATAACTTTGGTTGATAAAATTAAAAAATCAGGAAATTTATTTTGGAAACAGACATAGAATAAGACATATACTAAATAGATTAAGACACTCAACCATCAATGCTTATTTAGGGTATCAACCTATTGCTCTTTTTATAGATGAAAAGAATTTGCTTTTCTATAAGACATGATTTAGAAGGATTAGTTAAATTACTCTGGGTACTGTTATAAACATTAGACTTCCTGTAAGTCATTGCACATCAAAGCCAACCTGCTCCTTTAAGGGATGTGGCCTATTTGTTCATGGAGTGGTAGGAGAGAGGGTACAATTTCTATCACTATGATTTTAGAGGAACTGTGTTGGCACTCAGTTAGGTCCCTAGGCAAAGGAGGATGTGGGAAACTGTGGCTTTCAGACAAAGACTTGTTACATCTTCATAAAGAAAGGAATATTGCTCCCATACATGCTCTTGTTTGTTTTTTGCTTCTTACACTTTTGTATTTCTGACTTCATAGCATACATACAGCCCTTTAATAAATATATTTCAGCTATGTCACTTCCTTTTAAACATCTTCATAGAGAAATAAACTTAGCCTTTTCCCCTCAACTTTGCCATGTTAATGCAAATATAAAATAAAAACTTATGTGGGCTTCATGAAATGAGAAGATTCATTGGTTTATCCTTGGTATCAAAAAGTATTCATCAGACTATCTTAGGAAGGTAAAGTTATACTCGCCAAACTTAGGATCTTTTAAAAATTGTTAGTCTTTCATTAGTTCTTTGTGTCTCTCTATGCAACTTAGTAGTGAAAATCCCCAAGATTATATAAATGAAAGTGTAAGAAAGAATTTAGCATTATAAAATATTTTGTTAAAATTGTTTTGACCCTAAATTGAAATGTATATCCTATATATAAAGTTCAATGGGCAAAACACATTTCTATGTTGTAATAGAAGTTAAAGGAAAATGATAGAATCATCCAGAATGTGTCAATTCTTAAAATTATGATCCTGCACTAAGGAAAAATTGTTCTGAAATCTTAGCTTTGAAAACTGAAGTGTCCAAAATTTGCCCTGTCTCCACCTGTTCTCCATATCAGAATATGGGAGTATTTTCATTGGCTCAGTGTTATGGTATGCCTTTGGGATTTCTCTGGAATTCTGAAGATGAGATAGCAGAGGATGCATGAGGTGAAACGAACTTTTGCAATTGCTGACAATGGTTGGTTACATTTTAAAAAGGACTGATAACACTATATTTAAAATACATTTATCATTACCAACATGGATCATTCATAGATGAATATTTATTGAATAGATGTCACTAGTTACAAAACCAAGCATTCTTTTTGTTTTATGATTACTTTATACAACTTGTTTACCATGAAACATGTAGTGATCACAATTATTTTTCTGGGGTTTCCATGGCAATTAATCATCTTTCACTGCATCCTGTGTTCTTCAAGCTAAATCACATATGGTGCACTGCAGGAGTCACAACGGGCATCATTTTGGTACTTTCTCAAAATAATCTGGATTTGTCACCTTCAGGAGAGGAATAAATACAAAATGTAAACTGATATTAAGAGGATTATGAATATGAGTGTTCATTAAAAGCAATTTAGGATCTTGAAAAACAGAAATATGCTAACTTAACCATAACACAACATACTTCATTAGTTTCAGTTATCCACGTGGCTTATCGAAGCCCATATGCTTAAATTTGCCATATTCTTCTTTACATTAATTATATAGAGAGATCACTTAGTTTTGTTATTCATTACTTTTTATTTTAGTAACACCAATTATTAATGAATCAAAGTATTTATTCTGTCAGAGCATTCAATGGGCCTTTGAGTATTATGATCCAAAATTCTTACTGGTTGAATGAAATACCATTTCTTATTGTTGGAAATGAGATAGGAATGTTTTATCATATTACAAATGGAACCCTGTTTCTACTTTTTATGGGAAGTTTTTAACGGAGGCCTCTAAAATAATTCGTTTCATTTGTGCTCATTTATATCTTGTCTTACAGAACAAAGCAAAAATATAGCACATTAATGCCACAGATTTGTCTAAAACTAGCATTTTCCTCCCAGTGATAGCAGAATTATATGCGAGCTTTAATAGCTTGCTAATATTTTCTTGGAGTAATGAATCATTGATCTTTTCAAAGTAGAAAACCAAATCTAGCTAGGTCCGCTGCCTAGTTCTAATGATGCAGCATTTCTTTTCTCCATGAGGAAAAATAGAGAGCATGTGAAAACTTGGTTTTTAGAAAAAATAGAAAATAGTTTTTTCTTACTTAATGGAATTAAGGGCTGAGGATTCATTACTCTAATTATGTTTAAATGGGGTGAATACATGTTCTGAAAGTTCTACTTGCAGAAAATTATTTTTATATCATGCTTGCGATGCTAGTTATATTTCTGTTAGTAACTATGAACAGCTATATATGGATGCTGCTGTTACATTGGAGCAAAGTAGGACCTTGAGGCCCTGAGCAAAATTCGGTGGCATTCTCTGTCAGTCATTCAGTGTAACAAAGATTTGAGGTTGTGAAATGAGACTTTATATTTTTTTGTTCACTAGGCACATCGGATGGTTCAGTCTCTGACTGCCAGTGGAGGGAAGATCAGACTATAATCATCTGTATTCCTAGTTAAGAGGAGTTTTGATTAATTGCCTACCTTAGCAAACTAGAGTGTTTTTCTGCCAAACCTACTTTTAGAAGCTGTAAGTCGTGTCAGACACCCAGTCAATATAAAATAACTTAAAGGTATAGTCTATTTGCTCCTGTTCTTTTTTTCTAATCTACTGTCAGTTATTTAATGAGATGTGTCCTACGACATTGAGAACACGGATCAGTGAGGGCGAATGCCATTCGCCAGGGCACAATCCGATGGCAGGTGGCCGGGCTGACTGTTGGTAACACCTGGCCAGCGCCGGGCTGCGGGCGGTGCCTCTGCCCGGGAGGAGAGCTCGGAGTCCGAGCGCGGGAGAGCGGCCCGGCAGTGAGGACAGCGGAGGCCCGGGCGGTGCGGCCGCGGTCTCCTCACCGGCTCTGCCCCAGGGCCGGGCGGGAGGTCTGCAGCGGGTGGGCTCAGGCCTCGTGCAGCTTCACTGCCCTGGTGCCGCCCGCGGGTGTTGAGACAGGAGCCAGGGTCCTCTCCATTTCAGCGCTCTTGTAGGGAACACCCGCCCGTCCTGCTCACGTGGACATGCACTTGAGGATGGGGCTCTGGCTCACGTGGACGGTGCTCCCGCTCACGTGGACACGCACCCGAGGACCGGGCTCCCGCTCACGTGGACACGCACCTGAGGACCGGGCTCCTGCTCACGTGGACACGCACACGAGGACCCCCCCTGCTCACGTGGACACGCACAGGAGGACCGGGCTCCCGCTCACGTGGACACGCACACGAGGACGGGGCTCCACACTTATCACATGGATGAGCATGCTCCCGCTCACGTGGACACGCACCCGAGGACCGGGCTCCTGCTCACGTGGACATGCACTTGAGGATGGGGCTCTGGCTCACGTGGACGGTGCTCCCGCTCACGTGGACACGCACACGAGGACCGGGCTCCCGCTCACGTGGACATGCACAGGAGGACCGGGCTCCCGCTCACGTGGACACGCACACGAGGACCGGGCTCCCGCTCACGTGGACATGCACAGGAGGACCGGGCTCCCGCTCACGTGGACACGCACAGGAGGACCGGGCTCCCGCTCACGTGGACACGCACACGAGGACGGGGCTCCACACTTATCACATGGATGAGCATGCTCCCGCTCACGTGGACACGCACCCGAGGACCGGGCTCCCGCTCACGTGGACATGCACAGGAGGACCGGGCTCCCGCTCACGTGGACACGCACCCGAGGACCGGGCTCCCGCTCACGTGGACATGCACAGGAGGACCGGGCTCCCGCTCACGTGGACATGCACAGGAGGACCGGGCTCCCGCTCACGAGGACACGCACAGGAGGACCGGGCTCCCGCTCACGAGGACGGGGCTCCCGCACACGAGGACGGGGCGCCCAGGCTCGTGCTGCAGGGGGCCTCTGCTTCGTGGGCTTTTCATCCTAGAGAGGTGTGTGTGTGTGTGTGTGTGTGTGTGTTTTAGCTTTGTGGCTGGCGCGACCCACGTGCTTGCTGGGTTGCAGGAGTCTTCGTGTCCCTTGCAGCTGGCGCCTTCCCAGCCGCCCTCCTGTGAGCTGGGAAACAGACCTTCTCTTGTTCACGCTATCTGCGCTGAGCAGGCTCCGTAGTCAGGTGTCGGCCTTGGTCCTTGACATTTTGGCCTTTGGAGTGGGTTTCCGTTATATTTGTTATATGGTGTTTCTGTCAGAAGGTTCACCAAATTATTTGTAGAAAGACTCTTATACTTGATAAATACGTGGCTAAACAAAGGGATTATATACTACATACTAGTGCTTATGCTTTGCTGTGATATCAGTAATGACTTTTGGCATTTCAGCTTTATTATCCTAATAACAGGTATCTTGTGGCATTTAAAATAATCATAATTTTTGAGCGTTGAATGATGTAATTTCTCCTGCCTTATTTTCATTTTTGGATAAAAATTAAAATATATTTATGAATTGTGGCAATGCATAGTGTCACTTCCATAAATTTAAGTAGTGTCTCAAGTAAAGGAAAAATCACAAGTAGTTTTTAAATTTTAAATTCTTTCAGTTTAATGACTGGTGCCTGTGTTTAGTTCTGTAACTCATTTTAAGGTACATTTATAGTAACTATTTGAGGAAAATGGGTAAGGAAAAATATAAACAACAAATTATTTCCAACTGTGGAATAAGAATGTTATGAAATTGAATTAAGAATGTATAGAAGAATGTTACTGAGCATTTTGCCATTGCCTGTGCTCTTTTCTATCTTGAATCCTAATTTTTTAAGTGTTTGCAGCAGTGTTGTTGTAGCAGGTCAGTTTGAAAAGTCTCAAACGGAAACAATATTTTGAGATTTCTCAATAATAGACATCAGTATTTCCCCAGGATGTGGAGAAATTCTTTGATGTATTCCTTTAGGTTTTTATTTTTCTCTCCCAAAGGCTTACTCCATACTGACTACACTGTATTTCTTCCTGTTTCATTTCTCTTTTTCTTACCTTTTTATCTTTCTAGAGTCAGTCTTGTTTTTTTCTGTATTCTTGTGTTGCTTTTGTCATTGTAAGATCATGGCTCAGCTTATCACCCTGTATTATGTTTGTGAATTAAGTGCTAGGTACTAGCACATATTAACTAAAGCATTATGCTGATGGAGGCTGATGGTCGTGTGATGTGTGATTCGTGCATCTGATCAGACACAATTGGCCATATTAGTTTGTGGAATGAAGTTTCCACATAGAGTAACTCCTATCTTTGATCAGGGTTTACCTATCTGCCAGGGGGTATAGCAGCTCTAAATTTAGCTTATGGTTTACTACGAACTCATAAATGAAGATGAGGCTAAACTTCCACTCTGTGGAAGAGTGCTGATCGAGTAATACTTTGTGCCTAGCAGTTTTTGATTCCTCAGAAGTGATAGATGATCCGTGGAGAAAAAGAATCCAGTTGACCCCTGCAGAAGTACAGATTTAGGTTGCTTACTTCTCCTTCTCCCCTCACCTCATCAAGCCACACACATTTATTCCTGTAGCCAAAAGTAAGCCTATCTTATGAAGATTAGATTATTTGAGTCAAGGAGAAAGAAGACATTTCCGTTATCTATATCCATGTTATGCCTTAACAGGTGGTTCTGGACCAAGCTGAAACCAGAAATGAAAACTAAAGCTGGGGCTTCCATGTGGGTGACAAGGAACTGAGGTCTTGAGATATTATGCCTGCTGGCTCTAATGGTATGCATTAGCAGAAGGCTAGAACTGGGAGTGGATCTGAGTCTCAAACCCAGGTTCTGTGATCTGGGAACCTGTCTTAACTACTACTCCAAATGCTCAACTTGTAAGCCTGTGTTAATTTCATGATATATTTACTGTGCTCCCAGTATGATTGTTATTTCAGATTTATTAAGACTATTTTTTAAAAAAGATTTTTATTTATTTATTTATTTGAAAGGTAGAGTTACCATGAGAGGGAAAGACAGAGAAAGGTCTTCCATAACTGGTTCACTCCCCAAATGTCCACAATGGCTGGAGCTGAGCCCATCTGAAGCCAGGACCTCCCTCCATGTCTCCCATGCAGGTGCAGGGGCCCAATACTTGGGCCATCCTCCACTGCCTTCCCAGGCCACAGCAGAGAGCTGGATTGGGAGAGGAGCAGCTGGGATCAGAACCAGCACCCATATGGGATGCCTGCACTGCAGGCAGAAGATTAATCAACTGTGCCACAGCATTGGCCCCAAGACTATCTTAAGATGGCATCTGATTGATGTATTGTTACATAAGATTAAATGGTTATTAAACTTGATTAATTAGATACTATAATTGTCTTTATTTCACTTGATTCTTGATAGCATAATATAGTGCGAAGGAAATATTTCATGAAAATAAGCTATTACATATTTACCATTTATTTTCGTGTTCTTACAAAATCAGTAAATAGATGTGTTTTTGTTTTTTAATGTACAGAATTGTCATTTTATTAGTTTATTCAAAGTGTGTGTGTTGTTTCCCATTTTGTCATCTAGCAGTATTGTCTGTAATGATAAAGATCATATTTTTGCATGTTAGATGATATAATTTATGATAGTACTTTTAATTTGTAAAGTATGTATTGACAACATTCTTTTAAAAAGTAGAGGGCCTGTGTTGTGGCATGAGACATCCCATATGGATGCTGTTTCCTGTCCTGGCTGCTCTGCTTCTGATTCAGTTCCCTGCTAATGCACCTGGGAAAGCAGTGGAAATTGGTCCAGCTACTTGAGCTCCTGCGCCCATGTGGGAGACCTGAATGAAGCTCCTGAATCCTGGCTTTGACCTGGCCTAGCCCTGCATTTGGTCATCTGGGGAGTGAACCAGCAGATGGAAGATTCTCTCTCTGTCTCTCTCTCTCTCTCATTTGGGGAGTGAACCAGCGGATGGAAAATTTCTCTCTCTCTCTCTCTCTCTCTCTCACACACACACACACACACACACACACATCTCTATTTCCATCTCCATCTCTCTAAGTCTGTGTTTCAAATAAATAAATCTTTTAAAGAGAAATTTAGTATTATATTACTAATACTTAAAGAATTGTAAGGTATGTTTTTCCCATGAGCATTTAGAGTATATTTATCAACTTAGGTAATCAATATTATGAAGAGAAAGCAGATATTTCTCAATATTCCAAAACAACAAACAAAACTAAATTCCTACATCTGGATGGGATTAGGTTCATTTTCTAATTTCAGAAAAATCTTCAATTCTCCTTGCTGAATTTTTTTCTATGTATTTTTGTGAATTTGTCCATTTCTTCTAGGTTATCAAATTTGTGGCATGTAGTTGCTTATAATAATCTCTAATGATCCCTGTGGTGCAGTTTTAATGTTTCCATTTTCAACTTTTATTTGAGTCTTCTCTTTTTTTATTAGTCTAGGAATTTGTCAGTTTTGTTTATTTGAAGAATCAGCTTTTTGTCATTTTGATTTTTAAATATTTTTAGCCTCTTTCATTTATATATGCTCTGAGATTTTTTTTTCTTTCTTTTTTTTTTTTCCTCCTGTCTGCTGTCCCATCGTCTCAGATAGATGCCTGACTAGGGAAGATAAGGTCTTTGGCTTCTCTCTCTGTCTCTTTTTTTAAAAAAGATTAATTTTATTTATTTGAAAGAGTTACAGAGAAAGGTCGAGACAGAGGGAGGTCTTCCATTTACTGGTTCACTCCCCAAATGGCCACAATAGCTGGAGCTGAGCCAATCCAAAGCCAAGAGCTTCTTCAGGTCTCCCACATGGGTGCAGGGGCCCAAGGTATTGGCCATGCTCTGCTGCTTTTCCAGGCTATTAGCAGGGAGCTGGATGGGAAGTAGAACGGCCGGGACTCAAACCAGTGCCCATATGGGATGGCAGCTCTGCCAGGGATTTACGCTGTTGTACCACGGCATCGGCCCTTCTCTGTGTTTGTATCAGAAAATAGTATGGCACCTGTCGTACTGTGGACCAGTAGAGATTGTGCTGAAGAGGAGAAGCTGTTTTTCTGCCTACCTGCTCTTCTTTTTGTCAGTTTTCTTATCCTGCCTATCTGCCTGTTTCTGTTTGTCTATTGTTACATCATGTCCAGCTATTCCCATTTGATGAATATTAATATGAACTGTGCTGACTGCTTCACCTTGCTCATAAATCTGATCATTTTCATTTTCTTTCTTCTACCAAAATTTCATTCTTTCTACCAGTTGTTTTTCCTTGGAACATTTTACTGCCTGCCTGAGTCCCTGATAATATGGTACTGAACACTGTACTCTCACAACAGCTCACATATGTCTCAAGGAAAAGTATTTTTTTAGAGTATGCAATGTTTTAAAAAATTCAGTGGATGGGGCCATTGTTGTAGCCTAACGGATTAAGCCACTGCTTGCAGTGCCGGCATCCCAAACGGGCACTGCTTCAAGTCCTGGCTACTCCATTTCTGCCCAACTCCCTGCTAATGTGCAGTGGAAGATGGCCAAGTCCTAGGGAAGAAGTTCCTGGCTCCTGGCTTTACCCTGGCCAAGTATTGGCTGTTGTGGCCATTTGAGGAGTGAATCAGCAGATGGAAGATCTCTCCTGCTGTCTCTTTATTTCTGTTTCTCATTGTGTATAACTCTAGCTTTTCAGATAAATAAATAAATTTTAAGAAAAGATTTAAAAAAATCTTAAAAAAGATTTATTTATTTATTTGAAAGAGTTACAGAGAGAGAAGGAGAAGCAGAGAGAGAGAGAGAGAGAGAGAGAGAGAGAGAGAGAGAGAGAGAGGTCTTCTATCTGCTGGTTCACTCCCTAACTGGTCGCAAGGGCCTGAGCTGTGCCAATCCAAAGCCAGGAGCCAGGAGCTTCTTCCAGGTCTCCCACATGGGTGCAGGGGCCCAAGGACTTGGGCCATCATCCACTGCTTTCCCAGGTCATGGCAGAGAGCTGAATCAGAAGTAGAGCAGCTGGGACTTGAAATGGTGCCCATATGGG